AGAGAGAGAGAGAGAGAGAGAGAGAGAGAGAGAGAGAGTGTGTGTGTGAAGGATTTTTTATTATTTTAAATTAAAAATTAAATCAAATCATACCACCTAAGAAGTCATACTCTGTGTATCAATTCATAATCATATTGGTAAATACCACTTGGATCAATTCATAATGAGATGATATTTAAATATTAGATCGATATTCATGTATTAGGTATTTAGACGAAGAAGGCTTACTTTGTGTATCAATTCATCATCAAACCGATAAATAACATCTGATTGATTCATAATGAGATAGTATTTAGGTATTTCAAATGCATTGCTTATTACAAAAGATAGAGGAAGATCAAATTTTTTTAATAAAAAAATTATATAAAAATTTAAAATATTTTAAACTTAATTAAACATACAGACGATAACAAAAGATCTCAAGATAATTAAATTTTGTGATTTTATTGTTATCGTCGCATATCGCTTTTAGGAAAATGAATTTAGTTATGTGCAAAGAGCAACAATGAATTATCAATCAGTTGGGGATCTAAAAGTCATAGTCACCAACTTATTTATGCCTCATATCTAATATAATCTTCCAATTACATGTATTTTACAGCTATTATCAAGAAGTTAATCTTTTTTATGGAGTACTTTATTGAACTGTTCACATGTAACCTATGTGGCTATGCAAGTGGTAGTAAGACTTGGAAAAAAATAATTCCTTGCATACCCATTGAAAGATGGTTCAGTCAAACTAAACTCCAGACCAGTCTTGGAATCCAGGACACAAAACCTAAAAATAAGATCATTAGGTAATTGATGTTTTGCCAAATATAAAAAAATTACAAATTGTTTTTCTGAAATAAATCAAAAGACATGCGTGCAAATAATTATGTCTAAAATATGCATGCAACTACATGTGACTCAGCTGTTGTTGTGCCACTCTTATCTTGAGATTCTGAAGCATTCTGAGCCACTGCACACACATTATGCAGCATTATACAGCCTTGAACATGTGATAGTGTTCTGCTGGCAAAGATGGTGGCAAGCTTACAACAATTCCTGAAGACCAGCTAAAATGCTATTTAGAATGAAGTTGATGCATTGGCTAAAAGCTTACTCTGCTGCTGTTCTTCAACTCCAATATTTAGATCCAGTGATCACGAGAGCTGGTTTAATCATTTTATCTTTTACTATTACAATGCACCTCCACACATTAAACCTGCATGCATATCTTACTTAAGGAGGTGATTTTTACTACAATAAATCTAATTTCCAAAGATAGAGTTAACTTTCTCTAGATTCTATAAAATGTTTACTTTATCTTCAAGTGCATAGTACATGGAGAGTTCCTCCACATGTAATTAACCTAGGAAATAATTTTTTAAAATATTTTTCACAACAACAATCTTCAAAAAATAAAATTCACATTTAAAGCACATCATGAGAAAAGTAAAGTCAATTATTGGGTTAAAACAAGGTTGTTTGTTGAGTTTTAACATAACCAATAGCCATAATGTGACCAATAAAAGAAAATTCATCACATTATTCAAAAGCACCTATATACAATTTGCCAAGAGAGAATGCAGAGTGCAGTGCAAAAGAAAATACAAGACTGTGTTGCTATAAACACATTTACATGTCACACAAATGGCATGGTAAAAGGCATAAAATAAAAGAGAAATTAGTTTCCTGCTCATTTCCAGTTTACCCATCAATTTATCAGTCTAAATGAGTGGCACTTACCCCCTATATTTTGTGTGAGCCAGAGTAAATTAATGAGGAACAAGATCAGATAGACGAAAAGCACAAATAAAAGGAGGTAGAAAAAACTACCACACTCAATACACACATTGTGAAGTCAGGAGGCAGAGGTTCCTCCCCCACACCAAAGTCACTTGACACTTCTGTCCTGTGAGGAGACAAACAAGGCACAAATAATGCAGACTGGAAATAAGGATAGCAGAAGGCAGAATAAAGTAAAGTGAAAAAAATTTGCAAAGAGAAGTTTTGACTATTGAACCATTACCAACATCTCATTGAAAAGAAAAGAAAAGAAAAGAGAGCATACTTCCAAGTCCCAGTGGCTAAGTATTCGGGCTTTGCTAAAGATAAAAAGGAAGAGAAAGGAGGATGATTCCCCTTTGACTTAGCACACTCTTTTGTTAAAGAGCAACAAAAAGAAAAATAAGCACACACATTTAGAATATGAAAGTAAGAATGGTAGGGCCTTACTAAAGATTAAAAAGAAAGAAAAGAAGATGATTTCCTGTTTACTTTGCCGACTCATTTGTGAAGAAGCAACAACAAGAAAAGGAAACACACTTGGAATATGAAAGGAAGAACAGATGTAAGGTATTCTAACGATTGTCTCCTACAAGAAAAAAGCCTCAATCATCAACTTTGCATAATCCTGAGACTGAGAACATGATCTTAGAAGGGAGGATTAACCCAGTTTTGATATCAAAACCGATGCTAAAAATTTACAATTATTATTGACAGTTACAGATACTATTGACAGTTACAGATACTACAAAGGGATGGCATTCTATCCGATGCATTGGATAATGATGCTAATCACTAATGTGGATGTCTCACATAAGCCATCTTCATCCTTCAGTCTAACCAGAAGCATCACTGCCAGGTGATGAAGATGGGTGTTCACAAATGAAGAGGAAAAAGATGGATCAGCTTTAGCCATTTACTCTCATCAATCTCTGCAGAGAATAAGAACACAGAAAAAGGAAGTCAAAATGCATGACCAAATCATCAAACTGAACAAAAGTGCTCAAAAGAAAAACTCTTAAGTAAAGAATCTAGCCAAAATTTTCTAGCAAAAGAAGTGGCAAAGCAGACTATTCATGAAAAAAACACTTAAAACAATGCTGAGAACTTCAGAAAAAAGCACCGACTCTCATGGTTCTAGTTTGTATCTTATAAACAATGAAATCCACTGGCAAGTAGAGTTTCTCTGGAGGATGGACTCTAATCACAGCATATAGGTCTAAGGTCCTGAACAACGAACATCAACAATAATACAAGATAGTGTGGGTCTAATCTTCAAACATTTCATTTTCATTCATATCTACCAGTATCACCATTTTAACTAGAATTCAGGTCATAAAAATTTTGATCTATCTGGCTGTCTAAAATTTCAAAAAGCCATAGAAGCACTGATTTCCGCAGCAAATCTTGTTATAAATTTTGTCTTATGGCCAAAACAGATGAAGATCTATTGTAATGACAGAACACCCTCAAATGTGCACATCCAATTCTAGCAACGTAGTGATGGTAAGTAATAGTACAACCTCCAAACATACTTCCTGCTCAAAGTTGTACTAGGTTTAGCAATATCTAATCTGGGCTTCTACCCAAGCACCAAAAATTACTCCTTGACACAACCATCAAAAGACTCAATAAAGTTCACAAAAGAATGATTTTTAACGAAAGAGTAGATTGCTTCCATACCTCATACATTTGCCTCAGCACCAATCCCTTAGCAATAGACCACAGACAGCTGTAGAGCGCTCAATCCCGAAAGATAACGCTGTCCGCGAGCTCAACCAGGGGGTCAAGACAGTCTGGCGAGAATTTCCGTGCAAAGAGGTACGAATACGTCGAATTAGACCTCCTCAACTCCTTGATTAGATCACTGGAGATCTCCAGTGGGCGGTAGGCGTGTGGATGGCCACCGACGCTATCAGTCCAGTTCACTCTGGTAAGGGTATAGTGAGAGCACCCCTCGGGGTCCTGCATCTCAAGGAGCGTTGGAAAGTAATGCTCCTCGGGGTAGCAAGAATCCTCTCTGGATTTGAGGCATGGCATCTTGAACTTCTTCCAGAGGCGGCGGTCTCGGACCACCATCGTGGCGTGCCGCCTTGCAAGGATGAAAAACTGAGATCCAACCCGGAACTGGTCGAACGACACTTCAGGAAGCATCGCATTGTCGCCACGAGCGATGTAGCGATCCCACAGCCCGGGTTCGCCAGCAAGGATCTCGATGAAGCTTCGGTATCGGTGGCGGAGGACCGCATCGCCATGGGCGGCCGGCGGAGCACCGGAGTCCGCAAGGACGGCGTCGTAGGTGAAGCGGAAGGAGTGGAGGGGGACGCAATGTTGGGAGAGGAGGGCGAAGAAAGCGTTAGCCGGGTCGTCAAGAAGCGCAGCGGCAAGGAGGCGGCGCGCCGCGGAGATGAGCGTCGGGGACGCTCGCTGCGTGGCCTTAGCCGGGATGAATCGCCCGCTGAAGGAGGGCGTCGGTACGAGCCGGAGGCGGGAGGAGGGATCGGCGTGGACATACACATTGAACAGCCGCTCGTGGCCGCGGAAGAACCGCTCCCAAAGGGGCGCGAACGAGAGGTCGGAGTTGGTGAGGAACATAAACGCAATCTTGGGCGGCGCCGCGGTGCGTCGGCGGATCCCACCGCTCCCGCCGGCGCCGGAGGAGGCGAGGGTGGTGCGGCGGAAGAGCGCGAGGTCGTCCATCTCGTCGCGATCGGGAATGCTCGGAAGCGTCTTCGGCGGCAGGATCCGCGGGGCCAAAACGAAGAGCACCGGCACCGAGACAAGCAGAAGGAACGAGATCACGAACGGCGACGAGAAAATCATCGTCCGCTCTCGATCCTGCTCCAAATTCAGACACGGAACCCTCATCCCAGCAAGCAAGGGAAAAGAGCAAAGATCAAACCTTTAGGGTTCTAAACAAGCATTTAGAGTGGGAAGCGATCCGGGATCGAAATCTTGGACGAAAAGACAAATGCGAGGCACCGACCGATTCGTCTCACTCCGAGTTCCTCCATCCCCGCATCAAAGTCGCACCTTGGCGCTTAGGATCGGAATAAGAAGACGAGATTTCGTCGGTCGAAGAGTAGAAGAAGAGTAGAGAGTGGATGGAGTGAAGAAGGGTGGAGGTTTCCCATCTCCCATAAATAATCCCTTTTTTTCTTTTCTTTAATCGAAATATATTATCTCATAAGAAAAAAATCTCCTTACGCCTTTGTCGATCACCCATGCATGTACCTACGACATCGATCCCAACAAGTGGGTCCCCCATTTAACAACTAGGTAGACGATGAGGTGGTGAGCATTAAATGGGTTAAGAGTAGCTACACATCAAATGGATTCGCGGAGCACGATAAGTTAATCGCATCCACATGCTTTGTAGATCTTAAGCCGAGCGGTCCACATCCTGCGCTGACCAATCAAGAAAAAGAAAAATAGAACAATCTCTTCATATTTATTGAGATGAGGACACGTGTGCACAAAGCAGGTGGGATGGCCGTGCTGCGTCTGTCCCGCGGCGGGAGCCGAGCTTTTGCGTTATTCTAATAAAGAAGGCCGAACAGAAGAAGTGTTTCCACTATTTTGTTGCCGTGTTGTGTTTTTTAGCTTACAGCACTGAGGTTCTGTGCAAGGATGCAAGAAATGTTTCGAGCTTTTTGTTGTGACACTGTTTTTGGCACTCCGGAGTTACCAACAGATGTGCCAAAGCAGATGAAAGCATCAGCACGGATTCATACAGAGAATGAAAGAAGAAGCTAAGACAAATAAAGCAGTGAGAAGAATAGGTGATGAGGACTCGTCAATCAATGGAAGCCACTGATCTCAGTGGCTGCATCTCTTGCTTGAGTAAGAAGTGAGGAAAGAATCACAACCACCGACACCACTCGCATTCTTTTTCAGGCACCAGAAGAGTTGGAGTGCAATGTGGTCTTCAGACGTCCTCCTCTCAAACAAAAGAGAAAACAAAGACAGTGGTGACTGCAGGAGCAATCAACTTTGCCATCAGTCGAAGAAGAGATGACAGAACACATTATGAAGATAGAATCAATTCTGCAACAGATGGATACACACAGATCGCTGCTAATATTTGGCCAACACCGAATGCATAAAACCTGCTCTGCTCTTGCATGTAACAGCAGGGATTAGAGAGTGAATCGTGAAGATGAAGCAGAGGTATGAGGTTGAAAAGTGATCAGAAAAGAAAGCATGAAGGATGATGATGAAGTATATGGGGTATAGATTTTTGTGTAAGCTGTCTCATCTCAGTTGTTCCAAAGCCAACATAAATTATGATTGCTAATTTCCGGTTTCAATTTAAATATTTGAATACCCAATTGTTCTAACTTTTTTTTTTGGTCATAATTCTCAAAAGGGCATTTTTAAATGACTAATTAAGGTTTCAACATTTCTATTTTGAGGATCAATGAAGAAGATTTACAACTATATAGATGTAAACATTTAACTTTTATGGGAATAAGAATATTAAACCTAAATTCAGAATCTAAATACAAAAATCTGCCCAACTTAAGGTTAGGAATTTGGAGTATTAATGTCTTATATGATTTGATCAAATCAAGTTTGGATATCATCAGTTCATATTTAAGATAATTTTGAACATAACTTAGGTATTCAATTGGATTTAGAGATAGACTTAGGTATCCTATTTAGGAGTAATTGTATATATATATATAATTGTACTTAAGGAATGCACATTCATTTCATTTCCAGGCTGGATTATGTCTCGTACACGTGTTAGACGATGACGCGAAATCTAAAGTCGTTGCTTTCGGCAAGAGCAACATCTGATCCGTAGATAACTTTTCAACTTCCAATCGTATCCGTCGATCGTTGATCCGACGCTTACGATCTGCGCTAACGTTCACGGCTCTTCGCCTTCGGGAAGTTTCCTCTCGCCCTTCACATCTATCTCTCCCCCCTTTGCCGTTCCGCTGCTTCTCGATTCCGATCCCTCCCTTGTCGCGAACGCCGATTGCCTCCGCGTTCTCCTGTTCCCGGTGGATTACGGCTCCGCTGTGTAGATGTACGGATCGGCGCCCAAGGAGAACGTACACCAGGTTTGTGTTTCTTGATGCTACTTGTGATCCTGATTTGTTTCTCCGGATCAATGCTCTTGCCGCTGAATTGACATGTTATTTTTCTCCGGTTGTTGAATGATCGATGAATTTGGCTCGTTACGTAATCTGGTTTTGTCTGCGTCTTGACGAATCTACTGCGGTCTTCTCATGATTTTGTATTTGATTTGAATTGATCGGCAGATAATTTATTCCTTGCTGCGTACGCCTACAGATCAAAATTTCTGGTCAGAATTCATGGTGTTGATGAAGTATTTGTACTTTTGAGTGATCAGATCCGAGCTTTCTTGGCCTCGATATGGAATTTAGGTTTATGGATCTTTTTATGGCATTTCAACGAGTCGCATACCCTGATAAACCAAAAAGAGAGATAGAGAGAGCGAGAAAGAGAGAGAAAAACTGAAGGGTATAATTAGTTCCAAGATTATTTGGATAGAATTATTGGCAAGGAATTCAGAAATATAATAAGTACATTTTAATTGCCCTCGTGCGTGAAAAAATAGAAAAAAAATATTTTCTTGATTGCAGTGTTTGTTTTTGTTTTTGATAATAGTTTAGCCTAGTTGATGATAATGTATGCCTTTGGATATATTTACTCTTGAGTCATTTTGTTTGCTCGATTTGACTATAATTACCCTCGTGTGCAAAAAAAATAATATTTTTTTTTGCAAGAAACTATAATCATGGTGATCTCTCTCTCTCTCTCTCTCTCTCTCTCTCTCTCTCTCTCTCTCTCTCTCTCTCTATAATAGTTTGGCCTAGTTGATGATAATGTATAGGATATATTTACTTTGAATCCTTTTGTGTGTTCGATGTGACCATAGAAAATATTTTCGTTTAATGCAGTGCCTATATTAAGGGATGATTTCTTCTATTTGCTTCCAGTCTGAGGGAATTGTTCAGTCTTTTCTTTTCTTATTAAATTATCAGCTTTTGTGGATTCTTCAAAGGTCGTGTCATCAGGATATAAGAACTTTTCATCGATAATTATTATGTTTTCTGCTTTTATTTGAGTCTGTTGGGTTGGCTTGTTTTTGCTGGGAGTTTAAGGTGGCAGGGTTCTTGTGTCAAGTGAACTTTCTTTTTGTGCTTCTAGCTTCTAGGAATCACTTATAGTTAGATTTTCTTTTGAACAGCTTTAAGATTATTCGAAACAGTTTTTGCTCAATATCAGAAGTCTAAGCTATCAAATTTGGAGTCTATTGCCTCACCTATACGTCTCCAGCTCCAATTCTCATCTTGTTCATATACATATCAAACAATGCTAATGATGAATTTTTTGTTCCATGGTCACGCAGAGTACTCATTATAGAACTGAAGATTATGATGAGTATGAAGAGGAATATGATGAGTACGAGGAGGAAGCATCTGAACGTGATGGAGAAGATGAACAGGAAGCTCCAAAACCTACCAAGGAGGAACAAGAATTTCTCAGTGTGAGGGAACAACTAAAGGACAGAATTAGAACAAAACTGAAGAAACAAAATGCCAGGGCTCTAGGTCATTCATCTCAAACTCAGGACAAGAGAAGAACAACCACAAATGCTACGTGAGTAATGCCACATGTTCATCTGCATTCTCTCACTTTTGGTTTGTCTTTAGGAGCAACAAAGTGTTTTTTAATCAATTATAGCTGATCATCATATTCTCCTTTCCTTTTGTGTTTGTTCATATGAGTGGTTAAATTAATCCTTATTGGACAACTGAATCAGGCAGACCAATTCAAATTGACTTCTAGTTTTCCGATCTGCTCAAGACCACATCTATCAAATCCTTATAAAAATTGATCCATTTGGGGATTGGAGTAGTGATCATAACCCAGATCGTGATTGGGTGATCTTAATAACCATGTTTGTATATTATAATGTCATCAAACATACTGTTCTGTCTACCCTGTATTCTCAATTAACAGCAAAATTGTTGATGCATTTACCATTATTGTTTGAGTTACACAATTGATTATAAATGGTTTAATATTTTGGTATCTTGTTAGAGATAAGTGAAAGGTCTGGAGAAATCATTATAGATAAATCCGAACACTTCTTTGTACACATCAGTTTCTTAATGACCTGGAACATTTGTTATAGTTGAACTTTCATCGATAAGGCTATGTCATTATATTATAGCTACAATTTGATGGATTCTTTTATATGATTTTTTCATGACATTCTATGTAAAACATCATGATCAGATTGGGTTATAAACCATAATGTCACGGACTTAGCTGATTTTGCCTAAATCGTACGATACCCTTGCGTGTCCGTCCACAAAAGTTAGCCTCCCCGAAACCTCCTGTGGTCCTTTAGGACCTACAAAAGAGAAAACGGATTAGAGAAAGCGTCTTACTCGGGATCCACAAGCAAACATTTCAGAAAATATTTTATAACCAATGCAAATTACAAAAAGACTTCACAAGCTCTGAACGGTTGCACAACAAATGATAAAAAATGATCCACTACAGATCGAAATCTCCCACATGTGTCCACATGACACAACTTTTATTTACAAGCTTAAAATGACCATCAAACCCAACTAAATTAGGGTTGTTAAGTCTTCGACCGTCCCTCTATATGTTGTGTAAAGCATGAACAAGCCAAAAGACACGGACATACATGAGCATTACATTAAACACTCTGTTTATAGTTTTGTCCGTGACAATATGTATGTGCCTATGCTCAAAATTTAGATTGGTTTTTAGTCAGATGCTTATGTGTAGGAACTTTATGTCTCAGCTATCACACAATCATTGATAACACTGTCATGCTGGATATGCAACTTCCTGGTGCTAGCTTTTGATGTACCAAGTACCAATTATTAGAAAGATATTTATCTGGTCATTGTTTTATTATTAATCTATGTACCAATTGCCAAATACATGCTTACTGCCAGCTAGATACTGCATCTTGCCATATGGCAGGCTTAGCTGGACCAGGAATTTGTACATCATAATTTGCACTTCAATTATATCAGTGTTAACATCATAAATGAAACATCCATTGCGAGTTATCAATTATTATATTTCCAGCAACTGAACTCGGTGATATGTGATGAGATTTCTTTATTTTCATTTTCATGGTCTTCTATTTCTTTGTTAATTCATGTGCTTATTTTGCCCGTTCCAAGGATGCAATAAATATAGGTCTGGTCACTGTGGGCAGTGGACATATACCGAACAATATATGATTATTGGTTCTTATTTAGGTTGTGGGCATCATTCCTTAACCTTCAAATTTATTGTGTCTAACCATTTGTTTATTTTAAGGTCAGGTTCCCTGTTGAAGCTTTAGATGCAAGCAAACATATTGTTTTATGTAAATATTATTTAACTAAACTTTTGCGCCTTAACTTTGTAATTCTAGGGAATCAACTCTTTTTTTATGATTTTCAATGATTCTTTACTTATTATTTGTTTGCTGGATTGCAAGCTATTTCTATCATCTAAATACTACTTTCACAGATTTGGCTCCTTTTTCGGCCCTTCACAGCCTGTTATTGCTTCAAGAGTTATTGAAGAAAGCCGATCTATTCGAGAAACAAGACATGTTATGACAAACTTGTCAAGTTCTGTAGCTGTAAGTATTGTGGCCATTGGTTTTATGTTTTGTCAGCTTTTCGGCTGAACTGCAAAGATTAAGATAATTTTCTTTTCAAAAAGAAGAAAAAGGAAAAAGAAAAAGATAATCCTAGTTTCTGCAGAAGAAAAGGGATGCCACAGCCTCAGCAAGTACTCTATTGACTCAACAGCATCACAAAAAGCCAGCTGTTGTAAATGAGGTGTAAATTATCTTGCCTTAACGTTGTTGCATTCTGTGATGATGTCATTATTTTGGTCTGATTTGTATGCTAAAGTAACTTCTGCAGATAAAGAATAAAGCACAAACACTAAAAGACATGCGGGATTATTCTTTTCTACTGTCTGATGATACTGATTTTCCTACTGCAAAAGAGCAGCCTGCAACCAGGAGTGTTTCTGCACCGAAGTCTGGTATGTTTGTCTTTTAAAATACAATTATTTAGAGATTGACTTGTATAGGTTTAAGCATTTTTGGTCATAGAGGAAGCTTATACAGGTTTCTGGTCCTGTGGAAGATGGCCGGTATGCTCAAACATCGCTGAAGAGCCAATTGCCAATGAACCAGCCTGTTAAATTGGTCTCTGTTGCCAATGGATTGAGGAACCCGGATTCAAGAAAACAGAATATTCAGAGCAATACTGGGTTTGCAAAGGAAGCTCCACTCAACCGACCACTGCCAGCTTCAACTGATTCTCAGAAAGTCTTGAGTGGTGCTGTTGGAAATGGTTCCAGCAAGCCCATGGGGACCAATCCCTCTCAGCGTATTGTCGGAAATGGTTCCAGCAAGCCTATGGGGACCAATCCCTCTCAGCGTGTTGTCGGAAATGGTTCCAGCAAGCCTATGGGGACCAATCCCTCTCAGCGTGTTGTCGGAAATGGTTCCAGCAAGCCTATGGTGACTAATCCCTCTCAGCGTTTTGTCGGAAATGGTTCCAGCAAGCCTATGGTGACTAATCCCTCTCAGCGTGTTGTCGGAAATGGTTCTAGTAGGCCTGCGGTGACTAATCCCTCTCAGCGTGTTGTCGGAAACGGTTCTAGTAGGCCTGTGGTAACCAATCCCTCTCAGCGTGTTGTCGGAAATGGTTCTAGTAGGCCTGTGGTAACTAATCCCTCTCAGCGTGTTGTCGGAAATGGTTCTAGTAGGCCTGTGGTGACTAATCCCTCTCAGCGTGTTGTCGGAAATGGTTCCGGTAGGCCTATGGTGACTAATCCCTCTCAACGTGTTGTCGGAAATGGGTCCAGCAAGCCTATGGGGAATAGTTCTTCACAGCGGAAGGTCCCTATTCAGGCAGCAGGTGCAAATAAGCCACTCAGCAAGGTTGTAAATGATCCTTATTTGAAGAAGGATATTTCAGCTGCAAAGCCACATTCTTCTGCTCTGAAGCATTACCCAGAAAAGAAAAGATTAACTCAAGGACTAGATCAAGTGAAAACAACAGTGAAACAGTCGATGCCTCCCTCAAAATCTCAGGTCTGGATCTCTTTAGTTACTGTTACACTATAATAAATGCATGCCAGAAGTGAAGGATAAAAGAATGACTGGTTACTAGACAAAACAGTGTGCTTACTATGCTTAAAACCTGATTGGTCATGTAATCAACTGTGCTCACTCTCTTGGCAATACATGTGTGCCTACATGTTTGTCGGGGTTAAGGATTTATTTCAGCACTAGTTTACACATAGCCTTTATGACTTCATTCCTGACATTGAATTCTAATTTGATGAAGCCTATTAAGCAAAGCTTTTCACATGGCAACCTTGACAATCGATTAAAGAGAAGACCTTCTGGAAGGAATTTGAGTGATGAGGAAGATGTTGATTATCGCAGTCTCATCAGGGGAATGTTCGGGTACATATTTCTAACACAAACTTTTAGATGCTTATATTATTTCTTGCTGCAGGCTTTTGTCCTTGTTCTGAAGGTTGCAATTGTTCATTGGATATCACTATCTAGTTTAATAACCAATATTTATTTCTTCATAGAAGATAACTTCTGTAGATTTAAAATTGGATTTAGTATTAATTTGTCATGGTAGATAAACCTGCTAAATCTTATTTACAAATGAGAAACTTAGAAAGTACGACGTAAGTATCTCAAATTCCTGTTTATGGCTGAATTTTGCATATAATTGTTTGAAGGTGCCATCATAGCCTTTTGGTAAGATGTTGATCGTTGACAGCAAGATTTCGATATCAAAACCCATCCCGGCCTTGAATATCATTACTCATATTTCAAAATTTGACGGTTCCAACACAGTCTACGAGTAATAAATCATGGTAACAATACCATGTTCCGGAGGTTGGATCCTGCCTTAACATAATATTAACTGTTCTTGCTAAACGAAAAGAAAAAAAGAAAGAGTATAAAAAAGGAACAATTTTGCTGTATGTTTTTACCATGGTATTAGTTGAGAAGCCCTTGAAGGTTTCTGGTCTATGATGTTAAAGTTCTTTGATCTTGTTATGCAGGTACAATCCTAATAAGTATGCAGGGATGGATGAGGATGACAGTGACATGGAAGTTGGTTTTGATGTAATACAGAAAGAAGAGCGAATTAGGTATAGCTAATTTTTTTAATCATCCTATTCTACTCTTTGGGACCCGGGACCATCTTGAGCTAAACTTGCACAAAGAATCTGGTGATATTTTTCCCATTGGGTTTAGGGTTTAAAGATGCAGTGTCATTAGACTTGTTCATAATCTGAATCATAATTTGACTCACTTTTTAAATATCACTTTTCCCAATTTTTTCTTTTCATTTTCTGACTTTGTTGTCACCCATCTACAGTTCCAAGATTGCCAGGAAGGAGGACGAAGAGCAGCTTCGCCTGATCGAGGAAGAAGAGGAGCGCGAGAGACAGATGAGGAGACGAATGAAGAAGAAACCAAAACATTAGCCAAGTCGTCCGCATGGTTGGAAATTTTCTTCCGGCTTTTCTTTTTGATGATTGCCAGAATACGAGTGCTCTGAAAGCAATGATACACGGAAAGAACAAAGGTCAATCTCTTCACTGTTCTTCTTTTGGATGCTAATTCTCATTCTTAGAAGATAGATCAGTTTTAAGGCTGACTCAATCATCATGTGTGATGCACCTGATTTTTTTTCCTTCTAATTGATTATTGTTTATAATCTTTGCTTATCTCTCTGTGTTCTTTGGGGTTTCTACATATTTATCTGACCAGTATGCATATGTATATGTATATGTATATGTAATTTGGTAATCTTTATTTAGATAAGTTAGGTTAACAATCCTTAAGTCATGGTTAAGGAAAAATAAAATATTTTTATTATCATGAATGGTTTTTAAAGTATGTTACTATCAATTTAGAGTTTGTAATGTGTCAGAAATCAGACAATATTTAGAGAGGCAAATACGATATGTAATTCTCGTGCCAAGCAAAAAAGAGAGGCATCAAAGGCGTCACTCGATTTGAAGGACAGTAAAAAAGTCAGACCACCTGTTTTTCGTGTTTAATGTTTGATTTGACGAGCGGCGCGACGGTCAACAATATCGGTCTATGATACGGCCGAACCCACTCCTCCCACCTTGAGCAATTCCATTCCATTCTGGTCTTTTCTTGGTTGGGAGAACATCAGGTCGACTATTTCGATCGATCGGTTCGTGGAGTTCTCAAGTTCAGTCGGATCGTGATAAGTCGAGTCAGCAACGTGTAAACAGGTAGGGGAATTTGTTGGAAGACATGGATGGACGAGCAGCCTACACCGAAATCGAAGGTGATGGTGGATTCCACTATGGACTTTGTGAGGAGTCCTTTTAGGTCAGATTACGTCCACCTCTTCCTTTCTTCGTCCATTTTTTTTTTGTTGCATTGTGCCGAAGGAAATGGAGCTCTCCACCATTTGGTTTTGGGTTGTCATATTCCTTAGTGGGTTTATCACACACTCCATTAGCAACTACTCAAATAAATCAACAAACAGCAGCAATTCATATGTTTAAACCGAGGATCGGAGAATGAAGAGAGATTAAACACTTTGGAGGAACAAAACTCGTTAAAGATGCAGAATGAAATCCCCTATGGCCAGAGGTTAAAGATGAGCTATTTTTGGGCACCTTTGTTACCCTTCCTTTCAAATCAGACGGCTATCATCAAAAGACAGTAAAAAGAAAGAGAGAAACAGCTCCAATGTCTTACACGACCACTACCGCCGTTGACAGGTTAAAATCTACTGCTGGCTCCGCCGGCCAGGAGTAATCAGAAATGGCCTCCGTTGCTGGCCACACTGCAGCAAAGTTAGCATCAGTTGATGACTCGGTGTAATGGAATTCGATCTGGAGACGGTGATGCAGAGGAGTCGAAGACATTCGCCCTTTCCTGATATCGCCCTGCAGTTCTCTGATTGGTATTGCGGCCAAGAAGTTCTTGATGTACTCCATGCATGACTCCTTCCCCCGGCACAGAAGATTCCCCTCTGTGGGATCGGTTTCCTTTTCCTTCTCTCCTGTTGTACTCATCGTGGCCTCACTGCTGGCAGTCTCACCCTCTGCAGGAATTTTATGAATGGTGGTGCTCTCATCAAACTTCAGGATGTAAGCTTGGTGGCATCCTTCGTACAGCCTCTCACCGAGTGTGTCGATTATATAGTAGGCATCTGGTTCGACCATGAGGACGAAGAAATGATCGTTCCAGCTTACTATATAGATCTGAGGGCTTTCAATGCTTGAGCGGTCTGACCGAGCTTGGCTGATCTCATCCCAAACGCTGTCAAACGACATGGCTCCGTGCAGGAATTCAAAGTCACTGTTGCCATCAATATCTTCAGGATGAAAGAATCCAATGAATGACTTCCTTGGAACAACACAGAGTGGGCGAATCTTTGCTTGAAGGACTGTTTCGAGGTCAAAATGCTTGTCGGGAAAATGTTCCCGGAATGTTTGGTTCTCACAGAGGTTTCTCCATTCAAGAGATCCTTCTCGGATGAGGCTGTCAAACTGGGACTTGATGGGCATCATATGGTGGTTCTTCTGAAACCAATCAGCAAGGACAGCGACTAAGGCCGTGCAAGCACTCTCGCCGGCAGCTCGCTCACTCCTCTGGTCGATGGATGCAAAGAATACCTCGGTGGCAAGCTTCATATGCCCATCACGGCTCAGAAGCTCCTTCAACTCCCACTTGCCTATCTCAAAGTTATCATCACCAAATTCAGACATTGATGATGAGCAGTTCCGAGCACTATCATCATCTTCCTTGTATCTCTGAAAGAAAAACCATAGCAGAGTTCTTAATTCTCCACTTGAATATTTCACAAGTAATCACTAATAAAACTTGCAAGCATCTTTCAGATAGATAATCGGCACATTGTAATTAAATCAGCAAGGAAAATTAATTTGTCTGTTTGACAGCCAAAGGAATTTGAGATAATAAATAATTTGAAGGATCACTATGAACAGAAGAGTAATTCTAAGGATCAATCAATTTTTTCGACTGCATGACACATTTAGTTTCCATCACCCAATAACGAGCTTAATAGAAGTCATGTAGAAGAAACAAGCATGTAGCAAGAAAGCGTACCCCTGCAAACAGAGATTCATCGGAGGAGCTCAGCATCCTACGATCGTAGTCGATGTCATCCCCTCCCTCTTCTGCATATGCTTTCTTGAGCAAAGGCTCCCCTTTAAGCTTAGGAGATCTAAAACTTAACTTCCTTTTTTTCCAAGGAAGAATTTTCCTTTTTAAAGAATGCGGCATAGACTGCTGAGCATCAGTTGACATTGCGTCCTCTAAATGAGAACAACCTACATCAGATCTTCGGTGACTGTAGTAAATCAAATTATCATTCCTCATGCCCGAGTAAAATGAGGCCCCAACATAGTTAGCAGATGCTAGAGTACCATAACTGAATGACTTCCTGACATTACTATCCTCGTTGCTGTCCTCGACATCTTCTTCATCAATGTTGTCATCAAGAGAGTCTGTGTCGAACGGGTATGCATTTTCGGCATTATCACTCCTAGCAGAGAACCTCCCCTCACTAGAATCATCATCTTGGGATGTTCTTTTAGACTTGAGAGTTGACATAAGATCTGTTAAAATTTTCACCTTCCGCAATCCTGCTTTGAGAGCAGAAGGTTCATCTTTCCCAGAAGGAAGAAAATACCCAGAGGAAGGGGGCTCCAAAGCAGGCAGTATAGGCTGTGGCATTGTGGCTGATGAGTTTTGTGAAGATCTCAACTCCAATAAACTGAGAGCCACCTGAAACATAAAAAAATTGAATTCACAATCTGGAATTTCCAGGTAGAAATCACAACAACGAAAATAAGTGAACAATCACAAAGCATGGAAGACACTGTGGTGAAGCTGTTAGCAAGATATGTTATGACACTTAATAATCTGAAACAATATGATATCAGATTCTAGAATAAGATTGGAGAGACACAAACAGTTAGGTGAACCAATTTTGGTAACATTATTATCAGATAATCCAAAAGAAATCACAAGGCAATTAAATTCTAGCACAAAAAAAACTCAGTTTAACTTACATGAATTGATGGACGATGATGATTAGAAGCAACTCCCGAAAGTATCAACGGAAGGTTTATTTCGATTTTATCTTCAGCTGCAGGTACAACAAACTCTGCTAGGTTCAGCAAAGCTGTTCCTAGAACAGATTCCTTGTTCTTGGGTCCTTGGTTCAAGCCCTAAAACAAGGATAAATGAAGCTTTAGTAAAAGGGCGAGAAGTGAAGAAGAAGATGCCGAATAGGAAAAGAAGTCCATATGTTATTTATAGATTAGTAAAAGAAATCAGTCATCATATATCTTTAGTTTTTCCACATGAACAGTACAAATGTTATTCGTCACATCACTTAGTTAAGAACTTTGATTTATTCAACAATGGTCTGTCATGCTAATTTATCACAGCAAATCTTCCAAAGATGAGGTTCCATATATCCAACATCAAGTTATCATTCCTCATTATTATTCTTACCCTATCAACCAAAAAATGACAATATTACTAACATGGTGAAAAAAAAATGGAATAGGAAAATATAACTATTATTCTTCCCCTAACAGGATGATGGCATCTTCTAAATTGCACCAACAAAACAGGCCAAGAATTTTAAATTATACCTTAAAATAAATACTAAAGCTTATGAACTTTTTAATCCTACAAAAAGAGAACACTAAAGCTAAGTTTGGTATAAGAAAGAACGCATTTAATAAATAGTCGCTTATTGACCTAAGAACGAAGTCTTTCACAAAACCCTAAAAACCAGATTTTTATCAGAAAACAACGAGATAGGAACGTTGAAGATGAGATAAAGACACGGAAATCATGGCCTGAACGGAGCCAAATCCAACTCACATTGAGCACGCGAAACGCGATCTCCCAAGGATGGAAAGCATTCTCCCGGTGCGCCGTCAGCGTGCACGCCGCCTCGAACTCCTCGTTCCAATCCACTACCCCGCCTTCCCCCACCGCCTCATTCCTCGTCCGATTCCGCCTCACCGTCCTCCTCAGCGAACTCAGCGCCGCCTTCGCCCCCTTCCACGTTACCTCCGCCGCCACCGCCGCCGCCCCATCGACGCTCACCCCTTCGATCCTCCGCACCACCAGCCTCACCTGGAACTTCCTAGTCAACAGCGGCTGCCACGGCCTCCAAAGGACCATCCCCGCTGCCGATCCGACCGTTTCTCCGCCAAGCCCTCACAACCAGAGCCGCCCACTGAAGCCCGACTTTGGAGGTCAAGGAAGCGCAGCGGGTCGCCGGAAAAACGGCGAATCACCACCAAAAGGAGCCCAGAAACCTCGCAAGATACCAGTTTTATGGATGAGATCGAGATGAGACGCAGAAATCGGGCAAAATTCGAAGAAAGATAGAGGTTTGAGAGGATTCGAGAGGCAGAGAAGAACAACGAATTCACGAAGCGAGGCGAAATAAATAGAGGGCGTTAACGAATCAACGACCGCCGTTTCATCTAACGAGCAAATAACAGACGATAGCGGCAAACTTAACGGCTCTCTCCGTTACGTTTGTGAAATCTCCGGACAATCTACAGCTGTCAAGGGGTATTTTAGGAATAAAAATAATTTTTTGGATAGAATTAGTTGTGTTCCAAATTTAAATACATTATCTATTTAAAATAAAATTTCAAATATGCTATTGAAATTTTGGATT